GATGCGTTCCACTCTAGGTTAAACTTGAGATTAGCTTGAAATCATACAGATTTTCGCTACAGAAAACAGCTAATATTTGTATAGTTTGGCGTATCACTTATTATTTACTTGCGCTTCATTTCAGAAACATAAAATCTCTTTGGCCTCGTGACGTCTATTGAAAAATTTTCCTAACTCCCCTAGGTTCCTAACAGTTATGGAAACAAATCGTTCTTTTCAACTTTTGGGCAAAACTGAAAAGAATCATTGGAGATGTTTCTTATAAGCAGCCGCAACATTTCTACTGCTAGCAATTGCGTGACTGATGACGTGAAATATATTCTTACTAACTAATGGAAATTTTTAGTTTTGCAAGCTTTTAGCTGTGGCTGTGCTGACTCATTCTCATATTAAAGTTCATTGGTTCAATTCCGCTAATGAATAACCGATTCCTTTACGATTCGTTCATTTGTTTTGATAGTAATCTGGTACTACACCTGTAGGAGGATAGTAATTTGGTGTTACACCTCTCTGCTTCTGAACAAGTCTTGGAAGATGAAGCCAATGAATCACTCTTGCCAGCGAGTGATTACTGTTGGTATATGGCGCCGTTAGGGCTACTTCCGACTGCCTCACCCAATTTCGTGAGCAAGGGGCCTTCTCAAGGAGGGGAGAGTGAAGGTTTTTCTTTTTCCTTATTTTGTCGGTCATAATTCACAGCAATTGTAAATTAAATTAATTTGTTACGAAATATAACTATGAGTATAAAAAGGCGAAAATGTGCGATTACAAGCGCAAATTAAGTGGGGAAAGCAGGTTAAATTAATTTGCTATTTTTAATCTGTATGTGTTATGTGTTTTATTCCAATTTTGTTGTATACTTTATTAATTCTGAGTTCATGCATACTTGATCAAGATGATGCACTTCGCCGTCGTTCTTACTACGCCTGTAGCCAAGCTTGTTATAGTTTGTTCTAATTGTTATAGTTTGTTCTAAGCTTGTTATAGTTTGTTCACCACCATGTTATTAATTTTTTTATCGGAGATCCGATCTCCTGATGGGAATGTCGCATGGCTGGAATACCACTCAGCTTTTAAAATATTTTTGTATAATTTTGACTGGGCGAGCAAAAGCTGCACCTTTACAATTGCTTATACGCTTTGGCCACTCACAATGTTGGCAAACTGTAATGCTTAAATTACAGGTCAGATAGAATGCCGGGTAAGAAGAAGCATGGATCTTACGATATCATATCCGAGGATCTGTATGATTGCCGCATTCCGCTACACAATGAGCTCGCCTATCAACACGGTATTCACTTCGAGGCTAAGGTTTATCCTTTCAATATCTCCTCCGTACTTTTTTCATCGTTTTTCTGACTTTCTTCTAGAGTAGCAAGGTTGTGAACATGCTTTAAGCAAATTTTTGTAGCAAATGAACTTAGGCCCTTTCCCCAGAAGAGATTTCTCAGCATTTTAAGGGCAGTGAAACTGCGAGATATACTTTTTTTAGTCTTTGAAAGTTAACAGTTCGAACTCTTTGTCAGTGCTTATTTCTTTTTCCGTGTCCCCACACTTTCTATACTATATCACTATCCCAGTGAAACTAATAACATGGGACTTCGCACCAATTATCCAGAATGTCTTATGAAATATGTATCATATATTGTTGTATGTATTATGTACATGCATACCGAGAGATGAAGGCACTCAGAAGTAGTCTGACTGATAGAGCGACCATGCTCGTTTTCAGACCACTAATGATTCATTCTTCCGAGTTTGCGAAATCAAATTGACAATGCCTTTGACTCCTAAAATAGTCAGTAAA